GTAGAATCATATAATATTTGTCCTTTGGGTTCTGGCTTGTTTTTATTAGCATGTTTTTGAGCTTCTCCATGTTGTAGAAGGTGTCAAACTTACATTTCTTTTTAAGGCTTAATAATATTCCACGGTATGTACATACCACATTTTGTTTATTCATTCATCTATTGATGAACATTTGGGTTTTTTCTACATTTTGGAAGATGTGAATAACACTGTTACGAACATAAATGTACAAGTATTTGTCTGCAACCCTATTTTAAATTCTTTGGGGAATATACCCAGGAGTAAAATTGCTGGACCATATGGTAATTCTATGTATAACTTTTTGAGGAACTGCCAAACTATTTTCCACAGCATCTGCACCATCATACATTCCCACAGGCAATGCAGAAGGATTCCAGTTTCTCCACATCCTGGCCAATGCTTGTTACTTTACACACACACACACACACAGACACACAAACACACACACACACACACACAAATGGTCACCCTAATCTTAATGGTGAAGTGGTGGTAAAATATTTTTGCATTTCACAAAAAAATCACAGTAGAGTAATGAACTAGCCCAATAGAAAGGTATACTAAATACAGAGTCTAAGACATCAGTCATGTTGGAAAAATGCTTAGGTAAACATGTTAGAGTCTTAAAAATGTTCAGGTTTTTTTTTATTTTTTTTTATTTTTAGTGTTTATTTTTTAGTTTTCGGCGGACACAACATCTTTGTTTGTATGTGGTGCTGAGGATCGAACCCGGGCCGCACGCATGCCAGGTGAGCGCGCTACCGCTTGAGCCACATCCCCAGCCCAAAAATGTTCAAGTTTTTAAAAAATAAAAGCAATTAAAAATGTTCAAGTTTCCACTTGATTTATAGATGTTTCCTCACATATTCAAGTAAATGTATGTATATGGATATTTATAGAGCTCGTTTATGTGTTAAGATATCAGTTTTAAAATATGAGCGGATGTCACTGTGCAGCCCTTCCCCCCTCCACCCATGGAGGCAGCAGCTAGTGTGGTTCTATGCCTATTTGTTTTAAATGAGAGGGCACAGAAAAGAGAAACAAGGAGCCTTCTTTGTTTTTTGCATTTCAAAAGTCTAGGCTCTGAAGGGAAAAAGAGCTCATACCAAAGACAATACAGTAGATGTGGGACTGACTTGATAAATAGAGCTTGCCTATTCCTTAGACTAGCCAGTTTCCCTGGAAAGGAGCAAGGAAAAGAAAGGAAAGCCCAGAGTAGAAACTTGATTATGGAGAAAGTACCCTGCACCCTGTCCCTTTACCAACAGTTCCATCTTCCCAACCCCAACATGGATCCTAGAGTAAAGAAGGGGAGAAAAAAAATAAAAGATTTGAGCAGTTCCAGGACATAGGGTCCACTTTTATAGGAAAAGTCCAGAAATAAGAACCCTAAATGAGAACAGCTGTCTGACATGCCCAGGCTGGGGGTCACATGTCCATCTTAGTCCAAGGGAGGACAAAGCAATATAACTGTTCACCATGAATACATCAAATAGAAAAGGGATAATAAACTAAGAATAAAAATCAGGTAGCCAGGTATGGTGACACAAGATTGTAATCCCAGCAATTTGCTTCTTAAACAAAATCTCAGAGCCTTCAGTATGATACAGGAGAAATAGAATAAGTCTTTTGAATACCTGAGGGTAACTAGCATCTATGAAGTGCTTTGGGCAATCCAAGAGTTGCTTAGAACAACAGAATGATTTCTATGTGTGCAAGGACTTTATACTGTCTTCCAGAACAGGCCACTGGCTAAAGGTTCTACCATAACAGTGCCCTTGAGAGAGGAGAGAGAAATCTATTTCTCAAAAAGTTCTACACGCCTATAATCAAAGTGACTTGGGCTGAGGCAGGAGGAAATCAACTTTGAGGATAGCCTCAGCAACTTCTTTGTGAGACCCTCAGCAAACTAGCAAACTAGTGTTACCACTTTTGTCCTTGCTTCCCCAATGTTGAAGAATAACACCAGAGAAGCACGCTGAGGCAAGGTCAGAGTGGAAAATTAGAAGTTTATTAAAGGACAGCAGAAAAGACTTCTCCCGGAGGAAGAAGGGGACCCAAGAGATGGAATCCATGGAAGTGCGGTTGTCTCTCTATTTTATAGTTTTCGGTAATGGAATGTAGGTGGGAAGGCCCGAGGGGTGGGACACAGGTGGGCCAAAGAAGTAAAGCTGGGGATGTGGCTCAAGCGGTAGCGCGCTCGCCTGGCGTGCGTGCGGCCCAGGTTCGATCCTCAGCATCACATACCGACAAAGATGTTGTGTCCGCCAAAAGATAAAATGAATATTAAAAAAATTCTCTCTCTCTCTCTCTCTCTCTCTCTCTCTCTCTCTCTCTAAAAAAAAGAAAGAAAAGTAATCTGGGTACTTCCGAGTCAGCATCTTCAAGTTTGCTGTTCATTAACATTTCTTTGGGATGGGCTATCTTCAAATCTGTTGGGGGCTGTTTCCTGGACTTCATTAACATTCCATGAGTTGTTTAACCTTTCCCAGAATTCATTCTAAGCATGGCCTCCATTTTAGATCTTACTCGATATTAGACCCGATTTACCTAACTACACTGACTACCTAACTTTAAATCTGGCTTCACTAGCAAGACCATGTTTCAAAATAAAAAGGGGTGAGGATATAGCTCAGCAGTAAAGCACCCCTGAGTTCAATCCCCAGTAACAAGGAAATCAGGGCAGTGATGGGCATGTAGACATGCACCTTGCCCAAGGGCTAAATAGGACATTGACCAACATGCAGATGCTGACCACTAGGAGGATGAAACTGCTTCAACTAATTTTGGGGGAGTCGGGGAGGGTACCAGGGATTGAACTCAGGGGCACTCAACCACTAAGCCACATCCCCAGCCTATTTTGTATTTTATTTAGAGACTGGGTTTCACTGAGTTGCTTAGCACCTCACCGTTGCTAAGGCTAGCTTTAACTCATGATCCTCCTGTCTCAGCCTCCTGAGCTGCTGGGATTACAGGCGTGTGTCCCAACTTTTTTTTTTTTTTTGAGAGAGAGAGAGAGAGAGAGAGAGAGAGAGAGAGAGAATTTTTAATATTTATTTTTCAGTTTTCGGTGGACACAGCATCTTTATTTTATTTTTCTATGGTGCTGAGGATTGAACCCAGCGCCCCGCGCATGCCAGGCAAGCGCGTTACAGCTTGAGCCACATCCCTAGCCCCCAACTATTTTTTGATGTTTTTGGATTATGTGACTTGGAGATTCAGGTTCTAGGGATAGAGAGTCTGATTGGATATCTGGGGTCACATGTCCATCGTAGTCCAAGGGAGGACAAAGCAATATAACTGTTCACCATGAATACATCAAATAGAAAAGGGATAATAAACTACGAATAAAAATCAGGTAGCCAGGCACGGTGACACATGATTGTAATCCCAGCAATTTGCTTTTTTTTTTAAATATTTATTTTTTTAGTTGTAGTTGGACACAATATCTTTATTTTACTTATTTATTTTTATGTGGTGCTGAGGATCAAACCCAGGGTCTCGCACGTGTGAGGCAAGCGCTCTACTTCTGAGCCACAACCCTAGTCCCTGCTTCTTTTCTTTTTTCCTGGAAAAGCCCCTGACTTTGGCTAGATAGAGTTCTTTTTTTTTTTTTTTTTTAGTTGTGGTTGGATACAATGCCTTTATTTATTTATTTATTTATTTTTATGTGCTGCTGAGGATTGAACCCAGGGCCTCGCATGTGCTAGGCGAGCGCTCTACCACTGAGCCATAACCCCAGCCCAATAGAGTTCTTTTTAATCTGTTATTTTAGAAAGCTATCCTGTTCCATACTTATCATGGTGAATCTTATCTTTTATAAAATGAGAGTTATTCTTATTTTCTGATTATGAAAATAGTACATGCCCATTGAATTGGTATGGATCTTAAATGTCCCTCAAAGGCTCATTTTCTGAATGATGGTTCCAGCTGATGGTGCTACTGGGAGGTGGTAGAAACTTTAGAAAGTGGGAGGAAGTAGGTCTTTGGGGGCAATACACTTGAAAGGTCTATTGGACCCCAGGTCCTTCCTCTCTCTGTGTCTCTCTTTCTCTCATGGATGCCATAAGGTGAGTAGCTTTGTTCTGCCATGTGCTCCCTGTCATGATGTACTGCCTCCCCACAGGCCCCAAAGCAGTGGAGCCAGTCAACCATTGACTGAGACTTTTGAAGCCATGAGCTGAAATCAATCTTTCCTCCTTCAGAGTTGATTATCCCAGGTATTTTGTCATAGTGATGCAAAGCTGACTGGCACAGCAAATTGGTACCAAGAAGTGGGTTCATTGCTATGACTATAACTGATGATGTTGTTCAGAAGTCTTTAGAATTGATTTGCAGGAGCAATTTGGAAAAATTTGGGGGAAATTTGTTAGAAAAGCCCTAGAACGCTATAAGCACAGCTCAGTGGGTGATTCCAGTTGGAGCCCAGAAGACCAAAATGCTGATAAGAATGGGGACCCTAAATACTGTACTCATAAAGTTTCAGATGGAAATGAGGACACTCTTGGGAAGACCAGAAGCCATTTATGTTACATTCTGGCAGAGAACTTTATCTACATTTTGTTAATGGCTTGAGACTTTGTGTGAGGCTGAGTTTAAAGGTGATGGACTAGTTTGTCTGGCAGAAGAAATTTCAAGACAGCAGAGCATTCATACAGCACCATGGGTATTACTGGCTATGTTTAGTGAGATTTTTCAGTGCAAATCTGGAGCAAAAAGCAGAGCAGAAAGATTTGAAAAACTTATAATTTCGTCAGAAAATCGCTATGTTTAAAGTTGCAATTGATCTGCAAGCAGTTGCTGAAGAGATTAGTGCCATTAAAAAGAAGGCTCAGGGGCTGGGGATGTAGCTCAAGCGGTAGCGCGCTCGCCTGGCATGCGTGCGCAGCACCACATACAAACAAAGATGTTGTGTCCGCCAATAACTAAAAAATAAATATTAAAAAAATAAAACCTCGGCGGGCCCCGCCCCCGGCCGGCGGCGGCCCTGCGCGGCAGTCGGGGCTGCAAGCGGAGCTGCGCGGAGGGCGCTACCGGCGGGCCAGGGAGGCGGGCTGCGCTCTGCCTTCAGGGCTCTAGTCCGTGTACCAGGGTGCGGGTAGCACCGCGAGCACCTTGGGCGGGACCCGGGCACGGGGCCCCGGTATCGGGACCTCCCGCCAAGGCGCCAGGACCATGGCGCTGCGCGCCCGGGCGCTGTACGACTTCAGGTCGGAGAACCCGGGAGAGATATCGCTGCGGGAGCACGAGGTGCTGAGCCTATGCAGCGAGCAGGACATTGAGGGCTGGCTCGAGGGAGTCAACAGCCGCGGCGACCGCGGTCTCTTCCCGGCCTCGTACGTGCAGGTGATCCGAGCCCCCGAGCCCGGCCCGGCTGGCGACGGCGGTCCGGGCGCCCCTGCTCGCTATGCTAATGTGCCGCCCGGCGGCTTCGAGCCTCTGCCGGCCGCGCCGCCCGCCTCCTTCAAGCCGCCGCCCGACGCCTTCCAGCCGCTGTTGCAGCCGCAGCAGGCGCCGCCGCCAAGCACCTTCCAGCCGCCCGGCGCGGGCTTTCCGTATGCCGGGGGTGTACTGCAGCCGTCGCCTCAGCAACTCTACGGCGGCTATCAGGCCAGCCAGGGCAGCGACGATGACTGGGACGACGAGTGGGACGACAGCTCCACGGTGGCCGACGAGCCTGGCGTGCTGGGCAGCGGCACCTACCCGGACCTCGACGGCTCGTCGTCCGCGGGCGGCGGCGCTGCTAGCCGCTACCGCTTGTCCACCCGCTCTGACTTGTCGCTGGGCTCCCGCGGTGGATCAGCTCCTCCGCAGCACCACCCTTCGGGGGCCAAGAGCTCGGCCACGGTGAGCCGCAACCTCAACCGCTTCTCCACTTTTGTCAAGTCAGGTGGGGAGGCCTTCGTGTTGGGCGAGGCTTCGGGCTTCGTGAAGGATGGGGACAAGCTATGCGTGGTGCTAGGGCCCTACGGCCCCGAGTGGCAGGAGAACCCCTACCCCTTCCAGTGCACCATCGACGACCCCACCAAGCAGACCAAGTTCAAGGGTATGAAGAGCTACATCTCCTACAAGCTGGTCCCCACGCACACACAGGTCCCGGTGCACAGGCGCTACAAGCACTTCGACTGGTTGTATGCGCGCCTGGCTGAGAAGTTCCCTGTCATCTCTGTGCCCCACCTGCCCGAGAAGCAGGCCACTGGCCGCTTCGAAGAGGACTTCATCTTCAAGCGCAGGAAAGGCCTGATCTGGTGGATGAACCACATGGCCAGCCACCCAGTGCTGGCACAGTGTGATGTCTTCCAGCACTTCCTGACCTGCCCCATTAGCACAGATGAGAAGGCCTGGAAACAGGGCAAGAGGAAGGCCGAGAAGGACGAGATGGTGGGTGCCAACTTCTTTTTGACCCTGAGCACACCGCCCGCAGCAGCTCTTGACCTGCAGGAGGTGGAGAGCAAGATAGATGGCTTCAAGTGCTTCACCAAGAAGATGGATGACAGCACGCTGCAGCTCAACCACACTGCCAATGAGTTCGCGCGCAAGCAGGTGACGGGCTTCAAGAAGGAGTATCAGAAGGTGGGCCAATCTTTCCGTGGGCTCAGCCAGGCCTTTGAGCTGGACTAGCAGGCTTTCTCAGCAGGCCTGAATCAGGCCATTGCCTTCACCGGAGATGCCTATGACGCCATCGGCGAACTCTTTGCCGAGCAGCCCAGGCAGGACCTGGACCCAGTAATGGACCTGTTAGCGCTGTATCAAGGGCACCTGGCCAACTTCCCGGATATCATCCACGTTCAGAAAGGAGCTCTTACCAAAGTAAAGGAGAGTAGGCGACACGTGGAAGAAGGGAAGATGGAGGTCCAAAAGGCTGATGGCATTCAGGATCGCTGTAACACTATTTCTTTTGCCACTTTGGCTGAAATTCACCACTTCCATCAAATTCGAGTAAGAGACTTTAAATCACAGATGCAGCATTTCTTACAACAACAAATAATATTTTTCCAAAAAGTGACCCAGAAGTTGGAAGAAGCTCTTCACAAATATGATAGTGTTTAATGACTGGACATTGGATTGTAAACTTTTTTCAGTTCAAGAATAATTTCTACAGCAGAATAAAAACTGCTGTCAAAGAGCTATTGCCAACTATCAGTGGTAGTACAAGGATGGTTTTGTGTTCAACTGAAAGCCAGCTGAATATATAATTATGTAGGAGAGAAACCATTAATATGGCTATATCATAGAAACAGTACCACACATTGTAACTAAATTATACTATGTATGCCTACACTATTTGCAGATGACATGATTCTATACCTAGCAGACCCAAAAGGGTCTACAAAGAAACTATTAGAGCTAATAAATGAATTCAGCAAAGTGGCAGGATATAAAATCAACACGCATAAATCAAAGGCATTCCTGTATATCAGCGACAAAGCCTCTGAAATGGAAATGAGGACAACCACTCCATTCACAATATCTTCAGAAAAAATAAAATACTTGGGAATCAACCTAACAAAAGAGGTGAAAGACTTATACAATGAAAACTACAGAAAAGAGAGAAATAGAAGAAGATCTTAGAAGATGGAAAAATATACCCTGTTCATGGATAGGCAGAACTAACATCATCAAAATGGCGATATTACCAAAAGTTCTCTATAGGTTTAATGCAATGCCAATCAAAATCCCAACGGCATTTCTTGTAGAAATAGAGAAAGCAATCATGAAATTCATATGGAAAAACAAAAGACCCAGAATAGCAAAAACAATGCTAAGCAGGAAGTGTGAATCAGGCGGTATAGCGATACCAGACTTCAAACTATACTACAGAGCAATAGTAACAAAAACAGCATGGTACTGGTACCAAAACAGGCGGGTGGACCAATGGTACAGAATAGAGGACACAGAAACCAATCCACAAAACTACAACTACCTTATATTTGATAAAGGGGCTAAATGCATGCAATGGAGGAAGGATAGCATCTTCAACAAATGGTGCTGGGAAAACTGGAAATCCATATGCAACAAAATGAAACTGAATCCCTTTCTCTCGCCATGCACAAAAGTTAATTCAAAATGGATCAAGGAGCTTGATATCAAATCAGAGACACGCCGTCTGATAGAAGAAAAAGTTGGCTACGATCTACATACTGTGGGGTCAGGCTCCAAATTCCTCAATAGGACACCCATAGCACAAAAGTTAATAACTAGAATCAACAAATGGGACTTACTCAAACTAAAAAGTTTTTTCTCAGCAAAAGATACAATAAGAGAGGTAAATAGAGAGCCTACATCCTGGGAACAAATCTTTACTCCTCACACTTCAGATAGAGCCCTAATATCCAGAGTATACAAAGAACTCAAAAAATTAGACAATAAGAGAACAAACAACCCAATCAACAAATGGGCCAAGGACCTGAACAGATACTTCTCAGAGGAGGACATACAATCAATCAACAAGTACATGAAAAAATGCTCACCATCTCTAGCAGTCAGAGAAATGCAAATCAAAACCACCCTAAGATACCATCTCACTCCAGTTAGATTGGCAGCCATTATGAAGTCAAACAACAACAAGTGCTGGCGAGGATGTGGGGAAAAGGGTACACTTGTACATTGCTGGTGGGACTGCAAATTGGTGCAGCCAATTTGGAAAGCAGTATGGAGATTTCTTGGAAAGCTGGGAATGGAGCCACCATTTGACCCAGCTATTCCCCTTCTCGGTCTATTCCCTAAAGACCTAAAAAGAGCATGCTACAGGGACACTGCTACATCGATGTTCACAGCAGCACAATTCACAATAGCTAGACTGTGGAACCAACCTAGATGCCCTTCAATGGATGAATGGATAAAAAAAATGTGGCATTTATACACAATGGAGTATTACTCTGCATTAAAAAATGACAAAATCATAGAATTTACAGGGAAATGGATGGCATTAGAGCAGATTATGCTAAGTGAAGCTAGCCAATCCCTAAAAAACAAATGCCAAATGTCTTCTTTGATATAAGGAGAGTAACTAAGAACAGAGTAGGGTCGAAGAGCATGAGAAGAAGATTAACATTAAACAGGGATGAGAGGTGGGAGGGAAAGGGAGAGAGAAGGGAAAATGCATGGAAATGGAAGGAGACCCTCAGAGTTATACAAAAGTACATACAAGAGGAAGTGAGGGGAAGGGGAAAAATAATATAAGGGGGACAAACGAATGTCAGTAGAGGGAGCAGAGAGAGAAGAGGGGAGGGGAGGGGAGGGGAGGGGAGGGGGGATAGTAGAGGATAGGAAAGGCAGCAGAATACAACAGACACTAGTATGGCAATATGTAAATCAATGGATGTGTAACTGATGTGATTCTGCAATCTGTATATGGGGTAAAAATGGGAGCTCATAACCCACTTGAATCAAATTGTGAAATATGATATATCAAGAACTATGTAATGTTTTGAACAGCCAACAATAAAAAATTAAAAAAAAATAAATAAAAATAAAAATAAAACCTCTCTTTCCCCCCCCTCCCTTAAAAAAAAAAAGGCTCAGGAACAATAGGAAAAATACCTGAGGGCATCTCGGGAATTGGCAAGACCCAACCCAAGCCAGGCTCAAGAGTGTAAACTCCTTTCAAAGACTTTTGCTTTGAGAAGAAATCCCCAGGGTGCTCTGTTTGCACAGGGACACCTAGGGTATTATTTGCCAGGATTCATTTCCTGTATTCAATCATCCAGGCACTCAGAGTCCCCTGCAGCTGTGGTCCAGAAGGGCCCAAGTACTCCAGCCACTAGTGGTAGACCTTGGCATCATACACGTGGTGCTGATTTTGCAAGCATGCAGAATGTAAGAGTTACTGGGTCATGGAGGCTTCCACTCAGATTTCAAAGGAAAGCCTCTGAGGCTAGGCACTGTGTGAAAGGGTAGGGAGTCTCTCCAAGCATCCCCTGAGTGCTGTATGACACTGTGAGAGTGAAACTAAATCTGAAATAGAGACCCACAAGGTTGGAGATGCCAGGAAAGTGAAACATCTGCATCTGCCAAGGGAAGTAACAGGCAGCAAGCATAGCCAGCCCAAGAGAAGGACCATTTGGACTGCAGTCAACAAGGTCATAGGGACAGGGTTACCCAAACTCTTTGGAGCTCACATCTTGCCACTCTCAGTCCTGTAGCTTCATCTGACCCAGATGCCAGACATGGAGCTACAGGATTTAATGTTTGCCCTGCTGGGCTTCTTCCTTGCTATTTTCCTTTTTCCCTTTTGAAATGCAAATTTTTACCTGTGCCATTGTATTTTGAAAGTATATAACTTTTGATTTTAAGAGTTTGCCTTGAGTCTCAGAAGAAACTTTGGACTTGAACTTTTCAGCAACACTGGAACTATCCAGATTTTGGAAACTCTTGAAGATGGACTAAATGTATTTTGAATTATGAGTTAGATAAATCTTTAGGGGCCAGGGTCAAATGTTATGGTTCAGGTCTTGAAGGATGGTCCCCAGCCAAAGGTGCAACTGGTAGGTGGTTGAAAATTTAGGAAGTGGGGCCTACTTGGAGGAGGCAGAGGAGGGGCATGCCCTTGAAGGATATGCTGGGCCTTGATGCCTTCCCCCCAACCCTCTCTCTCTCTGCTTCTTAGCCACCATAAAGTGAGTAGCTTTGCTTTACCATGTGTTCCCTGCCATGTTTTTCTATTTCACCAGAGGTTCAAAAGCAGTGGAGCTAGCTAATCATGGACTGGAATCTCTGAAACTGTGATCCAAAATAAATTCTTCCTCCTTATAAGTTCATTACCATGGTATTTTGTCACAGCAATGCAAAGCAGACTAAAACACCCATAAACTGAAATTTGGGGAAAACAGGAAACTAGAAAGAGTACAAGGATAACCATTATTAATACCTTTAAATTTTTGTGGTTTTAAATTAATTTTGTTTATAAAGATAATGTATCATAAGAATGAGGTATCTGTTATGGAACTTTGGTTGAAACTACCCAGAAGGAGAAGTTCTCTTTCTGTGACTTACATCTAAAAGATAGAATATGGTGGAAGTTATGCTACATGACTTCCAGGGACATATCTTCCACTCAGTGTTCTCCTTTCTTTAGTCATTCTCCCTGAGGGAAGCCTACCACCATGTTGTGAAGACAGACAAGCAACCTTACAGAGAGGACCATGTGGAGAAGAACTGAAGAATTAGCCATGATCATGGTGACTCCAGATGATTTTTTGATTGCATCTTCTTTAGAGATCCTGAACCCAAACTGCTCAGATAAAGCTGCTCCTGCCCACAGAAATCCTAAGAGATAGTACAGATTTGTTATTGTTTTAAGCCACTAAGTTTTCCCCCCTATATATTTCATTGGTGCACTATAATTACACATAATAATAGGATTTGTTGTTATATATTCATATATGCACATGATTTAACAATATAATTGGGTCAGTATTGTTCCCCAGTATTTCCCTTTCCTTTCCATCATCTCTCCCCCCTGGTCTCTTTCCTCTCTTCTACTGGTCTCCCTTCCATTTTCATGAGATTTCCAACCCCACACACACAAAAAAACTTTCTTTTTTCCTCTGTGGCTTCCACATCTAAGAGAAAAATATATAACCCTTGACTTTCTGAGTTTGGCTTATTCTGCTTAACATAAGGCTCTCAACTTTCATCTATTTTCCTGCAGATGATGTAATTTCATTACTCTTTATGTAAACCACTAAGTTTTAGGGTAATTTGTTATGAAACAATACATTAACTAATACAAAATTGTTTTAGGAATCAAGGCTAAGCTGATCAGTATGTGGCATTCTCCAGGTAAAGTTTATTGATTCAAACCTAAGCATGTTACTAAACTGTCCCAATTAGAATCAAAAGGATAGACTTTTAAATAAAATAAAAAGTAGTTGGGTGAGCAACTGTATTCTACTTTCATAAACATGAAAACCTGTATTCAGATAGTGGTTGGTGCTGGGTTTCTGTTCTCCCGACTAAAAGGCTCAGGGGTCACTCCAGTTAAACTGGGCTAATTGGGCTGCAGGAAACAACCATACAAGAGACACAAATACCTTTTCTTTGGGGTCGCTCCTCTGACCCTAAGGGTCCACAGGAAGAAAGAGAGCAAGAACACAAGCTGACTCCTTTTATTGAGGAGAAGCTATTCAAATGAGGCAAGGGGTCAGGTTTCAGGGGGCTGAGTCTATCTTCATGATGTCCACTGTCAGCAGGTTGACTGGGTAGGCCACACCCAAGAGCACAGTAAGAGAAAGGAACACACACACAAGGCACTTCCGTGGAAAATTCTATCCTAAACAGGGCAAGGGGTTAGATT